CTGGGTTCAGCTCTTTGGACCTCAGAAGATTCCCATTCCACTCCAGTTCCCTGGGCAAGTCCTAATCACACCTGCCAAAAGAACCTCAATTGTACCAATTCTTTCCATACCCCTGTTGTACCGATACATTTATTTTCACACTCACATGGTATATATACCACTTGGTTTTTAACAGTATTGATTCATTTCTTCCTATTTGAATCCTTATTGCCATTGTGGAATCAATTTATTTTCTCTGATGTTTCTTCAGGTAGTGATGCCCCTGCCCCCCCCAGCAAGCTGGGTACTCATTTTACCGACCTCGGAAGGATGGAAGGCTGAGTCAACCTTGAGCCGGCTACCTGGGATTTGAACCCCAGGTCGTGAGCACAGTTTTAGCTGCAGTACAGCGTTTTAACCACTGCGCCACTCAACATCGTTGAGTGAAACAATGTTTCCTATATTGGAATGTATTGAAGCCGACTCAATACATTTCAATGCCTTTGCGAAGTCCTTTTTCGCTCCTGTAAAAGTGTCTTACAATGTTTGGACGCTGTTTTAAATGATTGCAATGGTTAGTCCACCTCCTGAAACCTACGCAAACCGATCCTGGTGTTGTTCTGACACCTCGCCAATCCATGATGATTCTTTGAATTTTCTCCATAGGAAACCATTGGATGGTCTGTCCAATGGTCTCCAATGGAAAAAACAAAAAATCATCATAAATCAACGAAGCGTCAGAACAACACCAAAATCAGTCTGCATAGGTCTGCATATATGCCACTTGGTTTTTAACAGTATTGATTCATTTCTTCCTATTTGAATCCTTATTGCCATTGTGGAATCAATTTATTTTCTCTGATGTTTCTTCAGGTAGTGATGCCCCTACTTTCATTTCATTTTTTAAAAAAGCCCTTACTGAGACATCAATATGGTGAAAAAGGATTCCCATTCAGGAATGTTTGATCTGTGGTGTGTGTGACTCTGGAAGTAATGCATTGCCCAAAATGGTCCCACCCTCCACCTGTACAGCTGTGCTGCTTGGTAGAAAGTAGACTGAGGTATCAAACAGTAAACAAGACAAATGGCACATGGAGGTCAATCCACACCGTGATTATCCCTGTAAAGTTGTAGACCTCTGTTTATTGATATATCAATAACTCAGCCATTAATTTTTTTTAAAAAAAATTAATCACAGGGCAGCCACACAGCAACATGGCAGCCAGCTTCCCTGGGAACTGAGGATGGGACAAGACTCAATAGGAACATGCACACATGCTGTAAGGAATGAATCAATACATCATTGGTACAATTTAAAACCATTCTCTTGGCAGGCGGGGGGCACCGGAAATAAACCACTGGCCAGGAAAATGAGTCAATCTTGGCCATGCGTTGTGTGGAAATTTATGAAATGATTAAAAAAAAAAACCAGCCAAATCAATATAGCTGGGGTTCTTTTGCCAGGTGTGAACGAGCCCAAAGCTTCCCACTCTTTTAATCATACAATCGGTTTACTTCCTGTGCTCACAGACCTCCATTGCCCTGTGTATCCAAAAAGAAAGCTCTCCTCTCTGGTAAAGCATCCAGTGAGTCCAGAATCAGGTTCCATAAATGGCACAAGTCAGCCCAAGAACTCCCTGGATACCACTGATGCCCCATGGTGGCTTATGTCTAATGTAGAAGTGCTATAGTTATTTCTAGTGGTCAGCAGAGAAAGTTTGGAGTCTTGCAAATGTAGCTACTAAGGATTAAAGGCTGAATGTGATTTTTTTAAAAAAAAATCCTACTAGAATCTTTTAGACTCTTGGGATCTACTAACAACCACCCACTCAAGGAGAGGATGCAGACAAAACTTTTGAAAAACAAACTGCAAGCATTTCAAAGAGACATAATGTAGCAGTGCTGGGAGATTTCAATTATCCTGACACCTTTTGGGAGGCAAATTTTGCCAAGCATGCCCCTTCAAAAATTCCTGGCTTGTGTGGCTGATAATTTTCTCCTACAAAAAAGTGGAGAAAGAAACTTGAGGTCTACCTACCCTTGACTTGATTCTGACCAATAGACATGACTTGGTGTGTGAAGTGGCAGGAAGGGGAACTCTGGGCAAGAGTGACCATGTTCTACTAGAATTTTTGATTTCAAAGGAAAACAAAGCGGAATGCAGTCCCACATATATGGTGGATTTTTAAAAAGCCAATTTTAATAAACTCAGGACAATGATAAGTACAGTCCCATGGCAGGAGATCCTAACAAGAAAAGGACTCCAAGAAGGGTGGGAGTTTCTTAAAAAGGAAGTTCTAAAGGCACAACTAAAAACAATTCCGACAAGAAAAAAAGGTGGGAGAGAGCAAAAAAGGCCAGTGTGACTTCACAAAAGCTCACAGAGGACCTGAAAACAGGAAGTGGCAAGGAGGCTAGGCCACAAAAGAAGAGTACTGTACAGACAAATAGCAAGAAATAGCAAGAATTGCATTAGGATGGCAAAAGCTGAGAATGAGCTGAGGTTATATAGAGACACTAAAAGCAATAAAAAAGCATTATTGAGGTATGTGCATAGCAAAAGACAAAGAAAACAAACAGTGGCTCAATGAAAATAGAAAAATGGTAACAGAAGACAAAGAAAAGGCAGAAGTGCTTGATTCCTCTTTTAACTCAGTCTTTTCCCAAAGGACAGATTATGATCCTCCAGACAAATATGAAGTGAAGGGATAGGACTGCAGCTGGAGATCGGTAAACAAATAGTCAAGGAATACCCTACTACCTTGAATGAGTTCAAATTGACAGAGTCAGATGAACTGCATCCAAGAATATTGAAAGAATTGGCTGTATGAATTGGACCACGTGGCTGCCAAGTTACACTCAGTAATCCAAATCCTCACTGTGCTCCCAGCAGAGGGATCAATCAGAGCAGTGTAATCCTACCACATCACTGCCAGTGTTGAAGTGCCAGCATTTCTCCTGATCCTACCACATCACTGCCAGTGTTGAAGTCCCAGCACTTCTCCTGTAGTTGCACCCTACCAGATCCCTTCCTATTCACCTTCTCAGATCTCTCTCAGATGCCACCCTCCCCTCCTCTCAGGTAGCTGCCAGCTCCTGTTTCTTTTGAAGGACTGGCCACTCCTTCAAAAGTACTCTCCTTTCCCATCTCATACAGATACGTATTTTCTCCCTTCATCCCAGACTGCTCTCCCTTTCAGGTGGAGGAGGAATCTTGTCCCACCTAATGTTCCCTCCAATGTGACAAAAGCTGGCTCACCCTGTCACTTGCCTGTGCAAGCCTTTCTTTTTGTGCCCCAATCTTTGTCTGCATATGTATGTTAACTAAAATCCAGAACAGGACCCATCCTGTAACTTGCTCATCAGTCTGTGTGGAAAACTTTGCTTCTCTCCTTCTCGATGCCTGGGTGTTTCTGTATGTGTGCTTTACAATGTCCTACTGCTGAGTCAAAGAAGAGGAGGGGGCAGCATAAAAGCATGGGGGCAAGTAGGAAAGCCATGGCTGCCACCTGTACATTTGACAAGCTATGTGAGAAGAAGGGTGGTGGTGGTCTATGGATGGCAACTTCTTTCTTCCCTCTTCATGGATTCCTGCCTCTTCCTCACCTCTCCCTGTTGATACAGCTAAGTTATATATTTTTTGCCTGTGGATGTGTGTGCATGCACATTCAAGAAGAAACGTGTGTGCAAGTCTCATGGAACAACCTTGCACTTCAGAATTTGTGACTTTGCCACTGATCAACTGAAATAACTCAGAGCTTCTGTGCCTGATGGGCTTAGGTGCCCTGACAGGTGTGTGGCCTTGGGCAACCTGCAGGGCCACTAGAAAGAGGGACCATTGAACCACTGCTGAAAGCCTTATAGAAAACCCCATGAGAGTCACCACAAGTCAGAATTGACTTGGTGCACAAAATTATTAATCACGGTAACAGAAGGTGACATTTCTGCCTTTTGGCTGTGTGGTGAAGAGAGCCTCCACAGGTGCTATATCGACAGGAACCAAGAAAGGCAGCCCCACGAAGGCATCGTCTTATCTTATTCTGCGTTAAACCATCTTGCTGAAAGAAGTGCATGCTTCCAGCAGTTCTGTGTGGCCCATTAAGTACGGTATGCAGACTGTTCCTGTACGTCCCATCGAATTTCGTGGGGCTTACGTCCGCGTAATCTTCCTTTGGATCGCGCAACATTGGTAATCACTGCTCCCCTTTTGCAAATTTAATTGCGCTTGGATCTTGGGACTGTACCCTTCATGATATTATAATAAAAGTGTGCAGTACAATCGAGGGTGGCTTTTTGGCCCAAAGGTGTCTAATATTCAATTTGATCTTGAACATTCAGGCAGCCTGCGTTATATAATTTACGGCCAAGAATTCCTGTCAGTGCTGCTGGCTCGGAGGCGACCGGGGGTTAAGGGCAGCAGCTTCACTCTGACTTCATTGGACCTGGCTGAGCATGCGCAAATCTTACGCACATGCCTGACTCTAGAGTTTTGGCCGCGTGTGTATAGAGCAGAACGAGGAACACACACAGAGGGAAATGCCTCGGAGGGAGGCAGGCAGGCAGGCGGAGGTTGGAGCCTGCAGAAGCGAAGGTGCGCGCGGACGCGGTCGCCTTTGGCCAGAGGGCCGCGGAAGACGGTTGGCCGGGGCCGGGGTGCGCGCGCGCTGGCTGCCCGGGCGAACCTGACGGGAGCCGAAGTCCCTCCTTTCGCGAGGCAAACTTGCCAGCCCGGGAGGAGCCGCCGCCGCCGCCAGTAGTCCCCTTCGGGGCTCCGTGTGGCAGCAGTACCATGGCTGTGAGACGAGAGGGCGGGCGGGCAGGCAGGCAGGCAAAGCAAGGGAAGGCTGTGCCCCAGTTTGTGTCCAATCAGCGAGTGAATTGTGTGCACCGAGCAGGGCAAAGCAATGCGTAAACAACAAGCTCTGGGAAAGTCCTCCGCCTGCTCCCCCCCCCCTCAAGCAACCCTGCTCCCTCCGCGCCACTGCTCCAGCCTTCCTCCTCGCTGACTCTCTCAGCATCCTCCTCCTCCCTCCCTCCCTCTCCCTCCCACTCTTCCTCCGCCCGCCCGCGGAACTCCTGTCAGCTGAACAGCACAGCTCGAAGCGCACCTCGCTCCCCTGCAACCGCCAGGACCCGCGCGCGCGGGCTGCGTCCTCGGGGCGCGCTGTCGGGGGGGGAGGCGCTTTGGGGGAAAGGTAAGGGATCGCCTCCTCTCCTGCTCTCCTCGCCCTCTCTCCTCACCCGCCCACCCCCACCCCCGGAAGAAAG